TGGTGACGCGGGCCCATGCCTGATGCTGGCAGAAGCCGGCAACGGTCGGCAGTAGTGGTAGGAACGCTTGCAACGCCACCAACTTGGCAGTGCAGTAGAGGTCGCGTATGTGTGTGGTGGTGCAGGTGCGTGTGGTGGTGGCTCGGTGGTGGTCGTAGTGTGGTGTGGTGTGGTCGGTGTGGTTGTGCGTGGTGTGGTGCGTGGTCGGTGTGGTGGTGGTGGTTGGTAGGTGGTGCCTGGTGTTGCGTCGGTGGTGGTCGCGTGTGGTGTGGGGTGGTGGTCGCCGTGCGGGTGGTCGGTCGTGGTGACAGGATGGTGCACACGCGGGGGTGGTGGTGGCTGGTGGGTGTCGTGGTGGTGGTGCGTGCGTCGGTGTGGTGGGTCGGTGTTGCTGGTAGCGCTAGGTGGTTCGGTGCGTGGTCGGTGGCTGGTGCGTGGTGGTGGTGCGTGGTGGTTGGGTGGTGGTGGCTGGTGGTAGCGTGGTTGGTGGCTGCGTGGTGGTGGAGTCGGCTCGGTGGGGGTGGTGGTGGTGGGGTCGTGGTGGTGGTGAGTGGTGTGGTGCGTAGGTGGTGGCTTCGGTGGTGGCCTGGTGGCTGGAGCACCGTGGTGTGTGCGGTCGGTGGTGCGTGCGTGGTGGTGGCTGGTGTATGGTGGTGCGTGGCTGGTGGTGTGGTGCGGGTGCACATGGGTCGTCGTCGTCGTCGTCGTCGTCGTCGTCGTCGTCGTGACGATGATGGTGGTAATAGCAGTGGTGACAGTGGTTGCAAGACATACATGCAGTTGCAAGTAATTGCAATATTTTTACAAGTTAACATATACATAAAGTTACCTAATGTTATACTGTCTAATACTCTTATATATTGTTCTATTCTTGTGTCATTGTCGAAGTATATTTAAAATGCTACATCACCAGAGTGTGCACGTTCCAATAACGAATATTATCTGCTTTAGTTGTATAGTTGTGCTTGTGTGGTAACTTACTATATGACATGCTGCACACTGGAAGGTTTGGGTGCTTTTCTGCTTCTGCAGAACCTAGACAACAGCTAGTAACCCAAGTTGCTACATCTAGTGGTCATTGGTGGTCTTTATGATGGGTTTTCTGCTGCGTTGTCTATGAGTAGCAGATGACTGTGCAGATATTTCCTGCTATACATGTTTTTCTGCATTGCTTCATGCTTGCTTCTCTTCCTCTGCTTGGAGGCTAACTTTCTCTATGGTTGTTGTGAACTCTATCAAAGATTTTACAAATAATGCTTTCAAGCTATAAATTATTTATATATATATATATATATATATAATATATGTATTAACATTATATAATAATAATATAATATAATATATATATATATTATGTATATATAGAGGTATGCCAGCAACCTAAAGAGTCGGGACCTTGTGATGATCACGTATTGCGCTGGTACTTCTCTGATGAAGATGGTGGCCGCTGTGCACCATTCTACTATGGTGGCTGTGAAGGAAATGAGAACAACTTCGAAACATACCAGGACTGTTCAGACTTCTGCTCAGTAACCAGTATGTGCAACATTCTATCAGGAGTTAATAAAGACAACTTTGTCTTTATTAACTCCTGATTCTATATGATTAGTTTATATGCGCTTTTCTAACACATCTCATCAACAAACAAGACTTGCCGCTTTCATGTTGTTTTCTATTTTTATGCACATGCTAACCTATTTTATCCCTTTTAAAATCAATCGTTTTACTAAATATAGTAAGTACGTAGAACCAATAGGTTTTGCTCTACGGTTAGCATGTTAAGATTGTATATTGCCATTATTTCATTTCTTATTACTTTTAGATTTTTCAAGTGACAAATTTACATGTAGTAAGGTATTCATCTGCACCTGCATGCTCCTGCATTGTCACAATCTATCAGCTAACGAGCTGTGTAGTTAGGAATTTGAGGTCTCATTCACAAGTTAGTCCTAGAGTGTCATGCCAAGCCGACCTCTTTGTTGACACTGAGCGTAATCATGTCACAGTTAGTGTTATACGTTCTCAGTGGTTCATTTACGTCCCCATTAATGCTGTTGCATTTACATTTACAACTGTGGTACCTGAATCAAGAAAATCTGTTGTGATTTAACAGATATAACTACTGATATTATTAATAAATAATATTGCTTTAATTCTGCTTCTAAATGCTGCAGTATGTAAATACTGTTGCTTCTGCATCCTATTTGTTAACAAACTGTATAGTAGTGAGGTTCTAATTATTAATACATTGAAATATAATTATTGGTAAAGCAGTTAGTTTGTACTGAATCCATTTGGATGTTTTAATCATCATGGTTGCTAACTTCTCAGTTTTAGTGGGAATATAGCATTATGTACTTACTTCACCATATCACCTACGAGGCAATTTCAACTGGGTCTTTTTCTGTAATAATTTCTCAGGTAACAACTAAATAATTTGCTAATGATTCAAGTTGTCCAAAATTGTTTATAAACCAGGGCTATGAACAGTTGTTTAATTTCCAGTTTGCCCCACGGACACAGACAGTTTGGCAGGAACGGAGAAAACTAGCAGGAAAAACTTTATTGTATCTTTGAACTCATTCACAGCATTGCATATATTGTATCTTTTGCTATAGCTGAGGTGCCTGCAACCACAACTAGTCCAAGTGATGAATTAACAGAGGTGGCACCAACAGCAGATGAGAAACTGTCAACATACGGTAACAAATCTACTCCATGATACTTTCGATTTGCATTGTATTTAATATTAATTATATTTCGATAAATTGAAAGCGGGAAAAAAATACAAAAATGTAAGTATTTATGAGAGTAACGCATGTCTAAGCATCATTATGTCTCTGTAGCAAGATGGATTGTAATGATCATGCCACTGATCTCTAACATTTCATTGCATAGAAATCTGCCAGCAGCCAAAGGAGGCAGGACCATGTGACAGCTATGTATTGAGCTGGTACTTCTCTGCTGAAGATGGCGATCGGTGTGCACCGTTCTACTATGGTGGCTGTGAAGGAAATGAAAACAACTTTGAAACCCATCAGGACTGCTCTGACTTCTGCTCTGGAGCCAGTATGTATAGGGTTTCTGTGCACACATTTGAATCGCAGTCGGAAGTCGCAGTTTTGAATTGTAAGCACTGCATGGAAAAACTTTTAAATAATGCCACCAGTGTTGACCCGTTGTATAAGTCAGCTGCATTTGTGTTACAGAACCAGTTGAAGCTACTAAGACTCCCGAGGAGACCACATTTGCACCAGTAGATGGTATTGTTTATTAATTTCTTATTATCAGAAACTATAGAATGGAAAATTGGCCAAGCACATATCTGTTTAGCCACCACGCAGTGGAGCTAGTATATATCATACTCTAATTCAACCATGGCTGCGTCACAATTAGGTTTTCGCGTTTTGTCACCTAAATCACGTTTTAACCAGTATTTGGATCTGTTTATTATGGGTTGGCAGTGATTATATAACTGTTTTCCACAATAATTGTAATTGTGTTTATGGTTGATTCTTAACTGTTTTATTTATGTGACACGTATAGCGTAATTCATTAATGGTGTCGTGATGTAATTTGTGCCGTACCTTGTAACGACGAGCAAGTACACTTTACAGACTGGTTTCTGATCTGCAATTCCTGAATCCTGCCAACAAGCTATTTTAGCTATAGTTTGCTTTCTCGTATCCTTACAGGCACCTCAATGATGCCAGACACAACAAGTATGCCTGATACTGGTGTAGAAGGTAAGAGGAAATAATTTTATGCCCAGTTACACCGTCATAGTAGATGCAGGCACATATTTTCTGTCTGGATGGATCTGCTCCTGATAAGTGCACCTATACCTTACATGGTGTTAAAGTTGCAGTGACCTGACAGAAATGGTTCTCTGAGGAGGCTGCCATGTCTTCAAGTAACTGACACCCCCAGTCTGCAAAGTTTGATCCACTAGTCCATGTCAGGCCCAGGCCTGATCGCAGCGTGACTAAATCGCAGCGTCCAGACACAAACTACTCAACCGGGCTAAGTTAGCATGGGTAGACTGCACATGTTCAGTTTAGCATGTGACATCACTCAGCAGACAGCAATGATGGGAAAAAACAGCACCGCCGATGGCATTATTAGGATTTTTACTGAGCAGTTATAAGAGCAGAAGAAGAAGAATATTACCAGATGACCGAATACACAGCGGAAGCAAACAATCGAATCAGGGTATTCGATTATAATCCAATGTTTTTGAGATTTAATTCACTAGTGTATACTCATATATAGTGTTATTTAACAACTTGGTTTACGTAATGGCAAATAGAGGTAGTAACTCGGACGACGATGAGATAAATTAAAGAGTCTGATTACAATTTAGTCAGAAGAATCTATTCTAGAATGAATGGGAAGGCAGACATAGAAATGTGCATATTCAATCACCTGTTAATATTCTTCTTATGCTATTACAGTAATACACTAATACACTATAAATCCTATTAATGCTATCGGCACTGCTGTTGTTTGACTGTCATTGCTGTCTGCTGCGTAGCGTAACATGCTAAGCTAAGCATGTGCAGTCTACCAGTGCTAACTTGGCTCGGTTGAGTATTTTGTGTCTGTACGCTGTGATTTTCGCACGCATCAGACCCAGGCCTAGCTGGCCCAGACTAGTTTGGTGTATTATCAAATTTTGCAGTTTGTACAGGGTATTAGTCCAGACTAGCGCGTATTTAGCCAAGGATTGCGTGTCTTGTGAATGACCATCACTATGGCAATGGAACTTTTTTCTATAGTCAACAAAGGCGAGAGGATTCATGTTCCATTGAATATGGTTCATTTGTTGCAATCTTGGACGTATATGGAGAACCTTATTATTCTAGTAAAGATATGAGGATCTAGTCTGCCAACTATAGTGTTGTAGATAAGGTCTATGTCCCCTGACCTCTGTTTGGCCTGGCTCGTTTAGCTATTTCTGACTAATATATATATTATTTTTATGGGTTAGGGTTAGGGTTAGTCAGAAATAGCTAAACAAGCCAGGTCAAACAGAGGTCAGGGGGACATAGACCCTACGAGCTATAGTGTTGAAGTAGAAATGATTGCACTCGATCAAGCTGTAGTGTGTTGGGGCAATCATTAGGTTAAGTTTGCAAACGTTAAAAAATATTAGGGGTAAAATTAACTCATTTTGATCAAATGCACACTGAAACCTAACAGGTTTTTTCCCCGTGCCATCGTTTAGATATGCCTATAATATATTTCCACATTAATTTAGCTAAGACACTTTAATCTTTTGGGCACGACCAAGTAACTAAAATTGAGTGAAAGGATGTTTAAAAACATTCTAATATGTTTATCAAAACGCAAGTTAAATTTAATGAATTGACGAATATTTTATAGTAAATGTTTCTATTTCAAGATCTGTTGCAATGTCAAGACAGGGTTATTAGAGATGTGGATTTTAATAAAGCGTTATTAGGATCTGACTCATAGATCTTCCACGTTGCTGGCACGTGCATACGGCACTCTGATTGAGCTTCCGTAACGCGCTTACTGCACCATAAACGCTGTTGTTGAGAATATCTGTATGATTGTTTTCAAGCCATCTGTGATCACCCTGTAGTTGTCGGACCGTGCAAAAACTTCACAACGCGCTGGTATTTTTCTACATCTCGAGGCAACCGCTGTGCACCCTTCTACTACGGTGGATGTGAAGGAAACCCGAACAACTTTGCGACATATAAAGAGTGCGCTGACGCGTGTCAGACAGGCAACATTCGATCTCTGCAAGGTGTCTTTCTCTCTGTGTGTAATAAACGTGGCTGATCACCCATAGTCGTTGTGCTGTGCAGCATATTAACTGCACTTGGATCGCACAGGCATGAGATTACTGGTTCTGCTTCATTGCTCAGTGTACAGCTAGTTGGTTTGCCATCATACATTGGTTATCCTTTGTGAGGTTTGATGATTTCCTGTCTATGCAAGCATATTGCAAGCTACTGCGAAGCAAGTTCTTTTTAGATGCACCGAATGCAATTTCTCTGTTAACTTCATGATTCTTTAGGACTTTCACATCAGCAAAGTAGTTGCACATCATAAACACTTGGCTTTCTTAGGTAGGAATGTATTGGCTATATCTCGCAGCTCTATCTGCCACGTAAACCGATTCATGGGATCGTCTTTATGCTCGTTCTTCTATTCTAATAATTTGTCCATTCAACACAACTTACTTGGCACCATGGAATTATAGTTGGGTTTTATATATACGCAGATGCTCAGAAATGCATTACTGAACATAAATTGACCACAACGAATAGCCTGTGTAATTTGATTGTCTAATATAGCACTATAGCATTTTTTATTACCTGGAACAGGGTCCTTCCTAAATTTATTTTATAAATGTAGCATTCAGTTATTGATTTTTGTTTTTTAATTTTTTAATATTGATTATAATGTTATTTAGTCAGCGTAATTAAATATATTACACACGTAACATATCGTGACTATACATACGGGGTCTCTTCTTGGTACTGTTTCAGGTTATAAGCATTCAATCGTTTATGGAAATGTGCTTAAAAAAACTCATGGTGGTACTTATGTTAAATGTAGCTATATAAATTACTTGCAAGTTTTTATCTTCATGCAACAATATTCAATAATTAATCAATAAAATGAAATTCTTTTAAAGTCAGATATCAATATAGGCCCCTACACATTTAACTTTTATTAGAAATGCAGATGGTAGATCTGCTGCCCATGTCTGCATGTTGAGGTCATGAATATCTGCAAGTAACCAGCCTTGACTAAACGCTATGGTTATAGCTAATTGCTTTTTTGCAGCTAAATTAATTCTTACCATCAATCTATGGCATGACTCCAGCCAACTGCATCATAAATCAGTTCGCTGTTTCGGTGGAAACACTAATGTCCGAGGCATGTTTCCCACTACTCTTTAATTCTAATAGTATCCTAACTGTAGCATATACCATCTTTTCTAGCTATAGATTTAATTCTAGTAGTATCCTACAGAGAGAATCACGTAATGCTTATTTTACATCTGTTATATAGCAAACCAAACATTTGAATTCTAATGATGTTTAATAACGTAGACATTTTTATATCCACACCTGATAGTACGCATTGGTTTTAGCAGCTATCATCCAACGCGCTTTTGGATTTACACGTCTTACAATTGTCACCAAGTGCAATTTCATGAGGTTCCCTCATAGTTCCTATAATAGGATTTGCTGGTCGTAGCGGATGGGGCCAGGGTGAAGAGAAGTGTGAATATCCATGCGAGCAATGGTGGTGTTGCCCGTCAGCGGAGGCGCCATAAGACAAGGTTGGGTAAGCTGCTTATTTCATGACCATCGTGCAAAGTGAACATTGACATTGAAAGTCCTTTCCGTGTTTAACTCGTGAGAATCTTACTCGAAAATTCTCAGCTCGCATTGAGATCGAGGTGTGCAATTTGTTGCGATGTTGATTGCATTTGTCGTGTGTTAAGGACATTGGTTGCTCTCGCTCATTGATCGGGTTTTTTGCTGAATCTCTCAATGACTATGTGATTTACTGTAATTGTCACACTGTCACATCCTGTTATAATTTTGCGTAAAGCTAGTTCTAGTGCTTTCTAGTCGATAGGCTTATATATTATGATTGCATCCTCTATCCTTGGCTATCTCTTGCTTACAGATAGTTTTACTACAGGCTGGCTGTTTATTATATATGTGTACCGTGCATAATGTGTATATATGCTATAATAGCATACAGCAATGCAATGTGTACATATGTGTTGACGTCCCATAATGTGTAATTGCTCTGTGGCTATGCTCTTGCATACTATGGCTGTGCAAAGTGTTCTGGAGATTTAAATGCTGTGTAGTGGAGTTTAGCTTTCGTGCTCGCTATAAGAGTAGTCTGCTAAATATCTGTATATATGCTTTAGTTGCAACTTAACTGCAGCGGTTTTGCAACTCAAATGGATTTAGTGAGAAGATGGGGTGCATGCTGACGCCGAGTGCTTATTTCGTATAGTATTCCAACTCTGTACTACAGCTCTGACTCCACGTTGTCGGATGTTTGCATGGGTGGAAGAGGTAGTAGTTGTCTTTTAGCTTCTATATTAGTTTCCACAGACGGTTAGGAGTTTGCTCTTTGTACGAGTTATATCTTGATAGCGCTGCCCTTCTGCAGTTCTACTACTATATCATGGATAGACATTTAGTTCTTACTAGTTCTGAAGACAGGAGTGTGGTTGCTATATATACAACCTGGGAACGCTTGCTCTTGTGCTTTCGCAGTGTAGTCAGTTCAGTCTGTTGTCTTTCAGCTTCACACAGCTTATTACACGTGTCAGGTGACTGGCTTTGCATCTTTTCGTGCGTCTCCTTGTTCGTACAACACTAAACTATCTGCGAAGAAAATCTGGTAACTTGTAGTAATCTTACAGATTACCTGCACTCGAAAGATTATGATTGCTATGAACAACAAACGATGCTGAGATAATGAGCGGTGAAAATCTGGTATTTTCGCCGAAAATTGACTCGAGATACCTGCTGACTGCGATTGTCTCTTGCTTTGAGATAACTTCGGGAAACCTCGCGTGTTTCCGGCAATGATTGACAAATGGAATGAATGACGTCTGTTATTGATTGCCATAGTGATGACCCCCACCTGTGCCCACCTCACGCTGGATGTAGTAAACTCTATAGTACTGACGTAATGAGTCAGCGTTACCATGGCGCTACACAGCGGCAACCGGAAGCAACACACTGGCCACAAAGCGAGAGACAGTCGCAGTAAACACTGAATCGAGTCGGTTTTCGGCCAAAACACCAGATTTTCACCGCTCATTATCTCAGTATAGGGGCATCGTAGGGACAAGCGGTTTGTTTTATATTAGCAAGGTAGGACAGCTGATCAATAATACAGCAAAGAATCGTCAAAATAAAACGGGCAAAGTTTCTTAATTCGACTAATACTGCAACATGGTTTCAGCACTTCATCGTTGTACGCTCTCCTTAATACGCTCGTGGTATAATGCTTAAAAATGTATTTTATAAGTGTGTCATAAGTATTGCTTTCGCAAACAAAGAATCTATGCACTTTGTTTTCCGTTATTGACAGGCGTAGTGTGTACGTGCAATTTGGCGTAAGCGACTGACGTTTTGGCTTTATGTCTTACCATAGAAGCTGGACTCATTTGCGTGTCATGCACTTCATATTCACACACCACGTGCACACACACGCACACGCACACGCACACGCACACGCACACGCACACGCACACTCACATAAGTGCATAATTATAAATTGTATTTGCCTTACATCAGCACCCACGGTGTATGCTTGCAGGTACAACAGAGCCTGAGCAGGTGGAGATGACGACGTTTATGGAAGAAATGGTCACTTCAGCAGCGAAGCTTACACCATATGGTGAGAGTCCAGTCGGTGTAGGACATGAGTGTAGCATTGGCAGCATTTAGCCTGCCTGCATCTGTTCTCTCATGTCTATCAGCAGTTAATTTTCTTGGCATTAAATATTTAAAAAAACTGCTGTGTTCTTACAGTGGCATTATACACGGAGAAAATGGCCTACCTTAGCACTGTCATCCTTTCGGTAATTACGGTATCAGTGCTGTAAATTTATAGCAGTTGCAAAGAATTTTCCACTTACTGCAAATGAGGTCATGCTTTCCGGTGTAACTACAACCTGGTTTGCTAAACCAGTCAGAATTTTCTATGACTGTTCTGTTGAGTCAAATTGATTTGAATGCTAAACATAGCAATTGTGTGCTAATGCAGAAGAATTTGTGTCTATTGTGTTGCTTCACAGTGATCGGACAATAGCAGATATTGTTCACAGTGCTTAGCTTGAAGACTTTATGTATATGTTTATTGTATAAAACTGAATCCAGTGCTGTTGATGACCATGGTTATAAGGAGCACAAGTAAACTCTGCTTGTAGCCAGTTATACTTGTAGAGTGAATATATGGAGATAAATAAGTTAAGAAAAGCAGACCATGCATTCTTGGAGGCTTTTCATTGGTTGCCGTAAAAGAAGCCACGGGACCATTTTCATAAGTATAAGTATTTATGACGTCCTAACTCTAAAATTTCATAACTTTTCACGTAAACTGTCCTGCAGAAGTTATGACAGTACTGACTCATGATGGTCATAACTATTTATCTTGTTTCTAGTAAGGGGCCCAGGCTAATCGAAATACTGCTAGTGCAGTGGCATGCTAATATACAGAAATCGCATCTTCACTGATACAAACTCCACCATGTCTGTGTAGAATTCTATCGATGGGCAAAGATAGGTAAATTCTTCGACACCAACATGTGATGTTTTCGCATCTAATGCTATCTCAATGCTTGAGTCTCTCTATCACAGAAACCTGTCGACTGGCTAAAGATTCTGGGCCGTGTGACAGCTACACGGTACAGTGGTTCTTTGATGCTGAGAACGATAACCGATGTGCTCCCTTCTACTACGGTGGATGTGACGGAAACGATAACCGCTTCGCAACATTTGATGAATGCAACGACTTCTGCTCTAAAGCAGGTAAGATGGATATTTTTCGTTCTACGATCCGTAGGCTAAATTCCGTTCCCTAGATTCTATGACCCACGCTAATGTAATGTATATTAAAGTAAACCAGCAAGTCATGTATCCAGATATGCTGTAACTGCTATCATCTGTATCTTCGCGCTCTAGCTCCATGCCCACTGTTGGATGACTGTGAAAAGAAGTGTGAGTTCGGCCAGCTGTATGATGACAAGGGCTGTCCAACGTGTCAGTGCTCTCCAGACCCTTGCCAGGTAAAACGACGTACTCTCGTCTGGTAGTCAACTCCACTGTTTAATTTGAGTTTTTCTCAATGTCGTCCAGTTAACAGGTCTTCATGGAAGTGTATGTCTCAATAAGGCAAAAGCAAGTGCATGGAGTTCAGAACATTTACATTAAACAATCACTTTGTCTATGTAATATAAGGTGTACTTGTGAATTAGTTAATTGCAAGCAACTAAAGAACATGAATGATCGTCGTATGTTTCCTGGTTGGCATGTGTTTGTTTCTGCATTATTAATCTCTATTATTTAGTTGTAAATTGTTGTTGTGAAGTATATAATTGCACACGCCTAAACAAGAAAAGGTTGCAACTATGTATTGTAGTCCTATAAGTGAATTCCTTGTGTTTATCATATCTATTTTATTGATGATGCTATGTGTAGGACCACTATTGCTCTGAAGATGAAGAGTGTGTCGTGGTTGAGGTGAATTGCATCACAGCACCATGCCATCCCACAGCCGAGTGTAGAACTAGTGAGTGTGTTCTTTGTTTTTGGAGTGCTATAGAATTTTATGAAACGCTATCAAATGGCATTGTCCTATAGGCTATAGAAATAGGTGTATTTCGCTGGAGTGAGGTTAGCAACTTCATCCACATAACAGTGAGTAGCTTTGCTGGACCAAGCTTCGTACAGACCTGACAACGCAACGCAACGCGTGTATATATAATAATTATGTGCACATGTAGAAACTACTACTGTATACAAGTGTTGTGACTATGCATCAAAGAAAAACAATGATGATATCCCACCTATTTCTTCCCTTTGGGAGAGAAAATTTTTTCATTTCGTTCTTCATATAAACTAATTTTAAGGCCTTACAGTGTTTGTGAAGCTTCTTGAAGCAAGTCCTTATGATAACGTTGCATTCATTTTTTGCATTGCAGAAATGGGGCCTACAGAAATTCCTGCGGTACCAACATTCCCTTACGGTATGAATACTTTGCAAAGTGCAATGCTGATGAAGAGTAATATTATATGACATTTCGATTTTTGGTCAGAAACTCCACAGGCCTTTAAAAGTCATTCCCTGGCAGTAACTCCACCATGTATAATAGCACTCAAATTAGATGCTCCCAGTATCTAGGTGTCTTACTTGCGTACTTACCTGCTAGACATCATACCTGTCTGCCCCAACAGTACGTGGCCTCAAGAGTGTTTAGGTGACGAGCTGTGTGTTTCAATTGTGACACGTTGTTTCTGCATGCAGTAACTGAGCCTGAAGCACCAGTGATTATCTCGGGTAGCTCGGCAATACAAGTACAGCAGGGCTCGGATGCCATGCTCCCCTGTGTTGCAATCGGCTCCCCAACACCATCCATCACCTGGTTCAAGGTACGCATTGCGTTTCTACATCTATGCATTCTTATTCAGCCATTCGTTTTATTACACAAGGATTATTCAACACAGTTATTGAATGAACACTAGCGATGTATGCTGATGTAGTGTTGTGTTATTTCTGATGAAGGGATCGGATGCCATCCTTGGCAAGAATTCCCGAATCAAACAGGACAAGAACGGAGCGCTGAAGATAGAGGCAGTCGCGCAGGAGGACGCGGGCAGCTACACGTGCAGAGCATTTAACGGCATCGGTCCACAGGCAGATCTAACCATACCACTCATTGTTGAAGGTACGTTTGATTGAAGATGTGACATTCAGCAAACCTCACGCGAATTCACCACTCTCCTTCATTACCACAGCTGTATCATGTTCGTTGATATATGCCCATTCAGAGTTGAATTTAGGACGTAGGGGGCAATCCAAAACTTCATTGTGAGGTAGAATCAGGGGTCAAAGTTCTAGAGTGTTATAAGGCTAGCAGCATGATTGCCGAGGTTCCTGAAGGGAAGGGTTTAACCATCTTCAACTTACCTGTTGCTATTATGTGAGGGGTATTTACTGATGGTGAGGAGCTTGCAAGCTCATGTTGACATATCTGTTACAAATGTACTGTCTTTAAATTAATAAAAAAATTTGTTGATGTTATGATCTTCTACCACAGTGCCAGCCAGGATTGAGGGCGTCATCTATGAGAAAGTAAAGGGAGTGATTGGAGAAAGCCTGGAGCTGCACTGTCCAGCATATGGTGTTCCAGTTCCAGAGGTCATCTGGCAGAAAGGTAATAATGTAGATAATGGGTACCAGCCAAAGACTTATAACCTATTTTACATTATGACCATAATTCAGTTGCTAAAACGTTGTTAACCAAAACGTTTAATATTGAAGTTTTGTTGTAGTGTAACTGCTAGTTTGATGTTTATGGTGATGATAACACGTGGCAGGCGCTTTTTAATATGCATAAAGCGCCTTAAATAATGCAGTTGGTAGTTAAATCCATTAGTATTTAATAGGGGATAATTTATTTGTCACTGACCTGTGTCTGGTCCAAATGATAGCATATTCAGTCGTGTATACATATCAGGAGCTTATAAATGGATCCATTTATAAGCTCCTGTACATATGTATGTACATGTGCGTGCGTGCGTGCGTGCGTGCGTGCGTGCGTGCGTGCGTGCGTGCGTGCGTGCGTGTATGTACATGTATACCGACGTCACAACCCACCCAAGGTTCTTCCAGGTCTTCAAAACGTGTCTGGACTGACATGCCTTCAAAGTTGTTGCTAATTTGCGACATCCCATAAATCCTCCTACATGTCTTAATTGCCTAACCGACATGCATTTTTCTCCAGCTGTGTTTAATTTTGACAATCCCAAAACAGTCATGCTGTGTTTTGTCAGCTTGATGTATACGTCTTCAAGCTGAACAATGCTTTATGAAGTGCTTAATTGACTCTAATTGGTACAACCACCTCCGGGCCCTCATCCATCCTTTCATCAATGACATATGCCTTCTGAAATTCCTGGGGAGAATCCTGTGGCTTATGATATTAAGTTAGAATGGGCATTTTATATTATTCAAATATCCTGAACATATTAATCTTTAGTGCTTTTAATTTATTTTGCATTGTGCTGTATTAATTGTGTTTTCTCACGCAGAGTTCAGGGGCTTATTGGGATTTAATTCCACTAATTCATATGAATATACTTATATTTCAATAATATTTCGACCTGTAGGTTCAACAGGTGTTACAGAGCAGCAGCAAAGGGCAGATAGCACCTGGGCAAGGAGATATGGTATTTGTATATGCCCTATCTAAGACAGGTCTATTGCACATTGTGTGACATAGCTAGCACTCATGTTGTTTTTTATTTTCATAGACCATTGCCTAGCAGGACGGTCTGTGGAGAACATAGCATGTGTAGCAATTATCACCTTAGTTATGCATGTATGTATGCACTATAGAAGCACTTGTGAGCAAGATGCATTTTAAAAGGTCATTGCTACACCACGATCTGGTTGGCAATAATAATTATCTAGCATCATAACGGTGGATTTGTTTATTGGCACTGTCAGCAGAGGTGGCATGTTGTGGCCAAGTATCAGGCTGACCTTTCACATGTGTAATTAAAATTAGTTATAAGAATAGTGTATTACTCTACAGTAACTTGTAATTGTGCCATATTTATATAGTAATACACTTAAATGATATCTTAATGCTGGTCTAATAGTTATAATCAGAAAAACGTGCCAACTAATTGTAGGTAATTATTTAGAATTAGTTCGCACAAAATTTATGTATTAGCTGCACAAGCACGTATGATTAGTGGTGTGGTAAAATAATCTTCACTGTAAGGGTTACTCTGGTGGTTACTAGTTACCACGTGGTGCACAAACTTGGTTCGCATACATCTGTGTCTGTGTGGTTTCTCTTTTAAATGGCCGTTTCAAACTGCTTGGCAGAATTTAGTTTCAATGCATTTGTGGCATTCAAGTGATATCTCTTCGTGTCCCATGTATATAGCTCGTGTAAAAGAAGGTCAATGATTACCAATGCTACTGAGTCAGACCAGAGGTTGTCGATGTCTTGTAAACTCTTGGCGTTGCTATGCAATATGACTAAATAAAAATATGAGATTGCAGAACAGAGAATGCCTCGAATGCTGGATAGTGGTTGTCGTCACAATTCTGCTAAGTAGAATGAAATTTTGCTGTTAATTTGTGTGCTGTCTCGTCTCGTCCAATCACGAGATGTCTAGTAGCCTACTGTTTTCTGTTTCAGTTTATATGTGTGGTTTTCTTGTGTAGGGCAGATCAATTATTGACCATCGCTATAAAGGTTACAATAATGCATGTTTGCCTTGTAAATATTTCATTTGAAACTGCTAGTTGTTCATGTGTGCTTTCGTGTTACTTCTGGGCTCGCAAATTAAGCTGCAATTAGACACTCTCAAACAACTGGTACACAGTTGGGTGTGAAGCAGGTTGCCCCTCACCCTCCGGACACTATGCCATTCTGCCACTGTGCAGGGTGGTCACCGTCACCGATACCCCTTTTTGATGTATCGTCATTATCTTTCTCCAGGACCAATCAGACTCCCTTCATCGAACCCACGCTTTACGGTATACTCTAACTACTCACTGGTGATCAGCCCAGTGCAGGAAGGTGATGACGGTGTGTATGGCTGCATGGCAAGAAATGGACTCGGCCCCACTGAGCGCAAGATTATCAGCCTGACCCTGAACGGTAAGTGCCGCAGACGTCGTCACTCTAGCAGGCAATTAAAAATAGGGGGGGGGGCATTCGATTGTGCTCTTTGGGAAAGTTGTGTCGCAGATCTTTACTTAGTCCGTGGATCACAGGAAGGGCTACTTATGGTCTGTCATGAACCTTGTTTTGTCATTAGCATCAACGTATATTGTGTTGGTGTTTTTGTTATTATTAATATTATTATTACTATTTCAATATTATTGTTTCTTGCCTTGTGAGTTTATAAACGATGTTCTTAATGGTCTTCCAGAGCCTGTTAAAGCCGTGATCCTCACACATACGTCAGCATATGACACGGGAGATGTAGTATCACTGCAGTGTGTAGGCAGTGGTTATCCTCAGCCACGCATTGATTGGACATTCAATGGTCTGGTAGGTATATTCTAGGTTTTAGCTGTTAGAACATAATTATAATATATATAATAGATTATAAAATACATCGGATAAAAAATGTACTTAATTCTAAGTGCTAATGCAATGGTCTGTACTTATTGTATGAGTTTAATTAGCTAGTATGCTAATGATTCAGAAAATCTTCGCGTGTTAATTTAATGAACATATAGGCAGCAACAGTATTTACACGTCATTGTAATCTTGCCTCCAGCCACTGTACACAACTGGACGTCGCGAGGTGTATGGTAATGGCACACTTGTGCTGCATGATGTCAGCAAGGCAGATGATGGCAGGTACTCGTGCAAGGTCTCCAACCAGCAGTCGTCATCTTCAACGTCAACGTATGTCAACGTCAGAAGTGAGTATGCTTCAAAATGTTGAACGTTTTATTGTTCATGTACCCGGTGACATTCTGATGAATATAGTTGTAGTTCATACCTACTAACTTGTGCGTGTGCGCGCGTGCGTTCGTGCGTGGCGCGCGTGCGTTTGTGCGTGGCGTGCGTGCGTGCGTGCGTGTTCATGGTTCGCACAGTCCTTAAAAAGTCCTTGAATTTGAGGGGAGTCCTTGAAAAGTACTTGAATTTAGTAAATGTTTATTTTGTGCTTGAAAAGTCCTTGAATTTCATGAAAATGTCTATGAATTTTTAGAAAGAATCTTTGCCTGTAATAAAAAAAAGAAAGAAATTTTGTACCATCAATAATGTGCAAACCTCAATAAAAATTGTGTTAAATGAGCTTAAAAAGCTATAGACACGATAGACAGTTAAATGATGATCACAAATTACGTAATGTCAGTAAAATCAGTCAGTAAATCAAGGTATGTTGTAGAAGGGTTTATTAATGTGATCCAGGAAAGTTAGAGGTGACAGTGATTAAGAATGGGGTTATTATTAAATTAATCCAGGTATGGTTTGTTCTGTGTATGAATTCCGATAAAATGTCCTTGAATTTCCAATAAATGTCCTTGAAAAGTCCTTGAAAAAATTTTCAGTCTTGTATGAACCATGGTTTGTGTGTGTGTGTGTGTGTGTGTGTGCTGTGTGCGTGTCGGGTGGCGCATGTGTGTGTGTGTGTGCGAGTGTGTGTTGGGGGGGGGGGGCATGCTAGCGTGTCTGTGTGCACATGGCTGCGTAGGGTCACCAGTATGATGCAGTCATTCAGAGTGAGTGATATTTTCCTGAGCCACCTAGCTTAGCAAGGTTTTAGCACGTATACGTAAATTTTTCAACACGTCGGTGCATCTCGTACAGGTCTGCGAGCAGATACAGAACAAACCTTTTACAGAAAGTCATAAATCTTCGGTATTTGTCATTCACAGCTGTCACGAAGAAGCCAGACACTTGCCGCGATAATCCCATTCTCGCCAACTGCAAGCTTATTGTGAAGGCACGTCTGTGTGGCAACCGTTACTACTCCAAGTTCTGCTGCAAATCGTGTCACGAGGCAGGACAACTGTGGTAGTTCCCAACGCAGATGTACAGCAACAGCAGTTGACCACGTTGGTTGCTAGTGGTCATCAGTCATAGTAGTGACTATCAATCATTTTTTTAGTTATCATTTTTGTGTATGTAGTTACCGATGGCTATTATAGCGATCACTGGTCAGCGGTGGTCACTAACCTCATGCCTGCAAGGCAATCCCAGAAGTCAGTAGCTGCTGTATTGTGGGATATGGTTCTGCGAAGGATTACCAAGATATTTATGTGCCCTGTATGTATGTTGACATGAGTTTTAATTTTTTTATGCTTCTAAAACTATGACCATTTTAGTAAATAATTGTAACCGTTATAAATGTTTGCTTAGTGTTAAATCCAGTAGTTGTCGCCATTTTGTAGTTAAATAAATCATGAATACGGAGAATTTTTAATACATGTGAAGGTGTCACTATATTTATACATGTATCTTTAGGTGTGTGCAGTTCTGATGGCCTTTTAAATGAAGTTATTCTTTTTATTAATTATAAATAATGTAGGAAATCAAATTTATAATGACTGTTATAGAATGTCACTTGAATACGCCGTCAGTGCTAGGAAATGTATATCTGCAATAGTAGATTAGACGTAATAATTGCATTTACAGTGCATTTTTAAGTAATGTACATTGAGTACATGTGAAAGATCTCAGGAGCTGGAAAGCACTGGTGCTAAAATGGTTTTCGAGATCTGTTATAGCGACCTAAAATTAATTGCCATTGTTTACGATTTACCTTCAGAAACCACCAATGAGAAGCAATGAGCCGAGTGTATGTGTATACCACGCTGTGGCACTGAATTTAATAGCGTGTTAAGTAAATGTATATTCATGTATGTCGAATCTCCAGGTAATAACTCATCCATAGGGAATCTCGGACCGTTTGTGAATACATTGATTTTGCGGTTTTTAAAAATTATCGGAAAATATCCATCTGAGATCTCATCATAATTACATCAATAAATGTTCGATGGTTCTTCGCCTTGTTTCCTTTTTATTACCGTATATGCACTGTTATGATTAACTCACGTTTGCTCGTACATTTGTTTGTAACGCGCCAGGATTTCTAGTGTACAAGAGACAACAAAATCGTCATATAACGGCCGCCGTCGCGAACCATGCACTGTCAGCTTTCTTTATGAAAACGCACCGCCAAAACTCCCAGGATCTGCATTGTCCCGACAAATTCTACTGTACTGTGTTAACACGTGTGAACTTTATTTCATACGATAATTATTTGGGTCCTATCTTGCCAAAATGCAAAAGCATTGGTCTTAAAACTCTTAGCTAGGAAGCTGCTTTACAAGCGCAGAAGTAATATTATTATTACCGTTATGAGAATCTCATGAAATGGAGCTACTAAATGAAAATGTCTGGTAGTGCTGTTAATCATATTACGGCTAAAGGTATAATACGTGTAATAAACGATGCTAATTGGGATAAGCTCAAAATGCGCGCTGTCGTGTAGGTGTATATTACTGTGCCATGATCAAAGTTAATCTAGGTTATGCACGCGCCAGATAAATTTCCAGGTTTTTCCAGCATGTATGTATCTGTACGCAAATGTTAGTAGTTATGTATTGATTAAGGCAGTAAAATCGTGGGTGATTACTTATGACCCCAATAGGAAGTGTGTGATTATTATTCAACATGCTTACGAGTAAAAGTTAATAAAATTTTATTATTGCCAGTTAAGAATGCGTTTCTGCGCTTGAAACCCAGTCTGTTTACCAAATGGAATTAATGAGTGCCTACCTCATTAAGTTTCATTTCATGTTCATGAATGGAGTCAAGAGCGTATTAAGAAGGCTTCTTAATACGCTCTTGATGGAGCGTACCTCTCGCCTATTAATGGCGACCTTATAAAAACCTTACCTGCTCGATTAATCGCACAATAATTATGAATGAATGCTCGCTGCCATTTTATACGTTGGAAGAAAGAAGTACACTTGTAAATTGCCACCGTATGCGCCGAACCTTCTATTACTGTGCTCGTGTTGTACATGAATGAAATCGTCTGCACTATAACCTCTCACATACGCGATTCTATATTTATCATCGATATTTAATTGTTTCTTTATAATAATCCGCCGTATTTCGCTGGTGACGCGTTATTACTCGGGTGTACGAAATATATGGATAATTCAGCCATCACAATAAATAGGTACTGTCAATATTTGTGCGTGTGTGTGCGTGCGTGCGTGCGTGCGTGCGTGCGTGCGTGCGTGCGTGTATGTACATGTATACCGACGTCACAACCCACCCAAGGTTCTTCCAGGTCTTCAAAACGTGTCTGGACTGACATGCCTTCAAAGTTGTTGCTAATTTGCGACATCCCATAAATCCTCCTACATGTCTTAATTGCCTAACCGACATGCATTTTTCTCCAGCTGTGTTTAATTTTGACAATCCCAAAACAGTCATGCTGTGTTTTGTCAGCTTGATGTATACGTCTTCAAGCTGAACAATGCTTTATGAAGTGCTTAATTGACTCTAATTGGTACAACCACCTCCGGGCCCTCATCCATCCTTTCATCAATGACATATGCCTTCTGAAATTCCTGGGGAGAATCCTGTGGCTTATGATATTAAGTTAGAATGGGCATTTTATATTATTCAAATATCCTGAACATATTAATCTTTAGTGCTTTTAATTTATTTTGCATTGTGCTGTATTAATTGTGTTTTCTCACGCAGAGTTCAGGGGCTTATTGGGATTTAATTCCACTAATTCATATGAATATACTTATATTTCAATAATATTTCGACCTGTAGGTTCAACAGGTGTTACAGAGCAGCAGCAAAGGGCAGATAGCACCTGGGCAAGGAGATATGGTATTTGTATATGCCCTATCTAAGACAGGTCTATTGCACATTGTGTGACATAGCTAGCACTCATGTTGTTTTTTATTTTCATAGACCATTGCCTAGCAGGACGGTCTGTGGAGAACATAGCATGTGTAGCAATTATCACCTTAGTTATGCATGTATGTATGCACTATAGAAGCACTTGTGAGCAAGATGCATTTTAAAAGGTCATTGCTACACCACGATCTGGTTGGCAATAATAATTATCTAGCATCATAACGGTGGATTTGTTTATTGGCACTGTCAGCAGAGGTGGCATGTTGTGGCCAAGTATCAGGCTGACCTTTCACATGTGTAATTAAAATTAGTTATAAGAATAGTGTATTACTCTACAGTAACTTGTAATTGTGCCATATTTATATAGTAATACACTTAAATGATATCTTAATGCTGGTCTAATAGTTATAATCAGAAAAACGTGCCAACTAATTGTAGGTAATTATTTAGAATTAGTTCGCACAAAATTTATGTATTAGCTGCACAAGCACGTATGATTAGTGGTGTGGTAAAATAATCTTCACTGTAAGGGTTACTCTGGTGGTTACTAGTTACCACGTGGTGCACAAACTTGGTTCGCATACATCTGTGTCTGTGTGGTTTCTCTTTTAAATGGCCGTTTCAAACTGCTTGGCAGAATTTAGTTTCAATGCATTTGTGGCATTCAAGTGATATCTCTTCGTGTCCCATGTATATAGCTCGTGTAAAAGAAGGTCAATGATTACCAATGCTACTGAGTCAGACCAGAGGTTGTCGATGTCTTGTAAACTCTTGGCGTTGCTATGCAATATGACTAAATAAAAATATGAGATTGCAGAACAGAGAATGCCTCGAATGCTGGATAGTGGTTGTCGTCACAATTCTGCTAAGTAGAATGAAATTTTGCTGTTAATTTGTGTGCTGTCTCGTCTCGTCCAATCACGAGATGTCTAGTAGCCTACTGTTTTCTGTTTCAGTTTATATGTGTGGTTTTCTTGTGTAGGGCAGATCAATTATTGACCATCGCTATAAAGGTTACAATAATGCATGTTTGCCTTGTAAATATTTCATTTGAAACTGCTAGTTGTTCATGTGTGCTTTCGTGTTACTTCTGGGCTCGCAAATTAAGCTGCAATTAGACACTCTCAAACAACTGGTACACAGTTGGGTGTGAAGCAGGTTGCCCCTCACCCTCCGGACACTATGCCATTCTGCCACTGTGCAGGGTGGTCACCGTCACCGATACCCCTTTTTGATGTATCGTCATTATCTTTCTCCAGGACCAATCAGACTCCCTTCATCGAACCCACGCTTTACGGTATACTCTAACTACTCACTGGTGATCAGCCCAGTGCAGGAAGGTGATGACGGTGTGTATGGCTGCATGGCAAGAAATGGACTCGGCCCCACTGAGCGCAAGATTATCAGCCTGACCCTGAACGGTAAGTGCCGCAGACGTCGTCACTCTAGCAGGCAATTAAAAATAGGGGGGGGGGCATTCGATTGTGCTCTTTGGGAAAGTTGTGTCGCAGATCTTTACTTAGTCCGTGGATCACAGGAAGGGCTACTTATGGTCTGTCATGAACCTTGTTTTGTCATTAGCATCAACGTATATTGTGTTGGTGTTTTTGTTATTATTAATATTATTATTACTATTTCAATATTATTGTTTCTTGCCTTGTGAGTTTATAAACGATGTTCTTAATGGTCTTCCAGAGCCTGTTAAAGCCGTGATCCTCACACATACGTCAGCATATGACACGGGAGATGTAGTATCACTGCAGTGTGTAGGCAGTGGTTATCCTCAGCCACGCATTGATTGGACATTCAATGGTCTGGTAGGTATATTCTAGGTTTTAGCTGTTAGAACATAATTATAATATATATAATAGATTATAAAATACATCGGATAAAAAATGTACTTAATTCTAAGTGCTAATGCAATGGTCTGTACTTATTGTATGAGTTTAATTAGCTAGTATGCTAATGATTCAGAAAATCTTCGCGTGTTAATTTAATGAACATATAGGCAGCAACAGTATTTACACGTCATTGTAATCTTGCCTCCAGCCACTGTACACAACTGGACGTCGCGAGGTGTATGGTAATGGCACACTTGTGCTGCATGATGTCAGCAAGGCAGATGATGGCAGGTACTCGTGCAAGGTCTCCAACCAGCAGTCGTCATCTTCAACGTCAACGTATGTCAACGTCAGAAGTGAGTATGCTTCAAAATGTTGAACGTTTTATTGTTCATGTACCCGGTGACATTCTGATGAATATAGTTGTAGTTCATACCTACTAACTTGTGCGTGTGCGCGCGTGCGTTCGTGCGTGGCGCGCGTGCGTTTGTGCGTGGCGTGCGTGCGTGCGTGCGTGTTCATGGTTCGCACAGTCCTTAAAAAGTCCTTGAATTTGAGGGGAGTCCTTGAAAAGTACTTGAATTTAGTAAATGTTTATTTTGTGCTTGAAAAGTCCTTGAATTTCATGAAAATGTCTATGAATTTTTAGAAAGAATCTTTGCCTGTAATAAAAAAAAGAAAGAAATTTTGTACCATCAATAATGTGCAAACCTCAATAAAAATTGTGTTAAATGAGCTTAAAAAGCTATAGACACGATAGACAGTTAAATGATGATGTGTGTGTGTGTGTGTGTGTGTGTGCGTGTGCGTATATACATGAGAGCATCGCGGTTTATGAACTCGTTTTCGATAGTAGGCCTAATATGTTTAAAGTTTAATATACAGTCGAACTAAACCTGCTTTATTTTTTAAGTCAACTATATGGAGCTACCGTTGAGTGCTTGTCCTGGGGTAGCGGCTTGAAATAATCAGATGTGCTAAGATAAGTTCACTTACACTGCATAAATTTAAGAACGAGGCTCTACTAAACTTTATCCTGATGAAAATATTTTCGAAAAAAGTCGTTTTGGCGGTCGCACTCATTGAATTATATATTATTCAATTATTAATCTCTCATTCTCTCATTAATATAGCTGTAAACAACTATATATATGAGTCTAAGGTATATATGATGACTATAAAATGCTAAAACTACTTGTCACAGATTGTCCTTGAAAAAAACATGTCCTTGAAATGTCATTGAAAGTCTTTGAAACAAATTCACACTCGTGGGAACCGTGTAGTCACTGTAGCGAGTACCTGACAGTAATAATGTACCATATAGAATTAACCATCACGAAAAACCAAGAAAATACCAATAATACCTTTTCATTTAATATCTGGTGCTATCTATTTCTATTTATCTATATCTGATATGTCTATCTATTTATATGGTACTTTAATCTATATCCTATCAGGTTATATTCTCTCGGGAATAAGTCCCATATACCAAATGGTATCGCCTACGACCCCGTTAGCACGGTGAATTTTACTCAGGGAAATGGCTGGTTTTCAGTCTCGACTTTTTCACGCCCCAGAGCACAAAATATGATTATACGGCTATAATACGTGTTTTACAGTCGCACATACACACGCGCTAACGGACGCGCACACGTGTGTCCCCGCGCCTCTAGCGTTTTTATTGCATTGCTCAAAAAACGGCCACCGCTCGTCCCTAATAGGTACATAACGTACCCCGAAAACGTACATAAGGTATACATCACGACTTTATTACTACGTCGCCCAGGTGTGTGTGTGTGCGTGCGTGCGTGCGCGCGCGCGGGTGTATGAAAAGAGATAACTAATACAATTACTAGTTATTTGTCTTATAATGACAAGTAATATAATATCATGTTATTGTCTAAATTATGCTGTTGTGTTTCTCGTTTTCCCATTAATTTTATAACGATCGTTTTTCGGTAGAACGTCGAGACTAGAACGCTAAAACGCTAGAACCATCGTTTTCGCTAGACACCATTTGACGATGCGCACTTTGTAAAATAGCCATTATTTTGTCCATAATAATAAAGAATAATATAAGGATAATATAATATATTATATATATCATATAAGGAACGAAATGCCCCTAAAACGCAATGTATTCGTAAAAATATCTACTTTTCGAGCAGTGGTAAAAACAAAACAAGTATAGTGATATCCGAGGTTGGGCAAGAGTCAGTGTTTAGTTTTTCTTCTTTTTATAAAACGAAAACATAATACACACATACGATCTGGACAAGACACGAATTGGAAGTTTGGGTGTGTGCGTAGCGTGTTGGATTGCTAGTCAGTAGTCCGGCGTTCAAATCTTGTCAATTGCCATAGTAAAATATTTTCTAACTGCTGTTGCTAAATATAACACACACATCTGAGCTGGTCACGTAATGAATGGTATGTTTGGGTCCGTCCGTAGCGTAACGGGCTTGTATTCAATAATCCTGGGTTCAAATCCAGGCAATTACCAAAGTCATATATTTTCAGACTGTCGTTGGAAGAAATGTAAACATACATTGACCATGCACTTGGCAAGGATCCTCACCTGATAATGTAAATATTTTGAAAGTGGTGAAGGCCATGGCCTTGAGCTCAAGGCTATGGCCTTGGCCTACTAATGTAAAACGTTTAAAACTTAAAAAAGTGGGTCAAGGCCATGGCCTTGAGTTCAAGGCCATGACCTACTTGTGAAAAACGTTTAAAATGAAAAAGTAGGTCAAGGCCATTACCTTGAGTTCAAGGCCATGGCATTGGACGAGGTCTTGGTCAAGGTCAGTGTTAATGTCAACACCGCCAGACAACAACAACAACAACCCAAACTACCAATGATCTACTGCAAACTTCTTAACAGTGTATGTTACAATTTCTTTGTTAATTTGTCAGAAAAGTATTGTTGATAGCCTTTGAATAATTAACACCATATATAAAGAGGAATCTCGGGCGTTTTATTTGGAGTATATTTATTTGAAAGCATTTCAATCGTGAACACATGCATGGAATTACAATCAGGGTGCTACTTGCTCTGGTTATAGAGCTAGTTGTTCTAGTTCCAGAGCTAGATGTTCTAGTTATAGTGCTACTTGTTCTAGTTCCAGAGCTACTTGTTCTAGTTCCAGAGCTACTTATTCCAGTTCTATAGCTACTTGTTCCAGTTCTACTGCTACTTGTTCTAGTTCTAGAGCTAGTTGTTCTAGTTCTAGAGCTAGTTGTTCTAGTTCTAGAGCTAGTTGTTCTAGTTCGAGTGCTAGTTGCTCTAGTTGAATGAGCATGAAATGAGAATTTCTGACAACGAGCCGCAGTCGTACACATAAAACGCGAAACCACATGCTCATACATTATGGGATTGAACTTGCAATAAACGATTAGTATAAAATACAAATTTTTCTAAAAACTCGTGGAATATCAGTATAAAACACTGTAACCGTCGGTTACGATGGTTTGTCTCGGAAGTCCCCCGACGCGAATTGGTGTGCATCATGCGCCTTCTGCCTTCTCCGCTCCTCTACCAGGGTAAGAGAGGTCCTCACACTACATCAAGGGAAATATTTTTCATATCATTAACTATGAGGAAACATATGACATCAATTGATTAAGTACTTGATATAATAACAGAAACGATTTTCAAATTAAATAAACATGTAAGCATAAGAGCAACGTTTACGAAACGTGAAAATTTATTGGATTTATGATTGGCGGAATATGACGTCCAATAAAATAAAAAAGTGCATTTTTACATAATCAGGCTTGCAAAGCTGAGGCAATTCTCGTCTGTCCTTATAAGAAAGATCCAGCATGGAAAAATGTGGATAACTAAATTTACCATATTCAAAGTCTTCGTTATTCATAGAATTAAACAAAACTCGATATCTCAATATATATTAATATATAATCAATGATACGTCAATTATATCCAATTTCAGGGAATTTTGTGATACGAAAACAAGTAAATAAACAATTACCTTTGTTCTTAGCAGTTCCTTTAATCGGAGAGTGGTGGCCCGTCAGTGATTCTCCATGGAAATGTCGAAATCGAATCTAATGTATAAAATCATTATTGATTTATATTAATATATAATCAATTATTATATCAATATTTTAATTATCACTAATTTATATACATATAATATTATATATATATATATATTACATTCATTTATATATAATACAAGCCTAATTAATATATTAATTATTAATATATAAATTATATCCAATTTCAGGGTGTCATGAGATGCAGAAACTAGTAAATGAACAAATACCTTTACTCTTAGCAGTTCCTTTAATCGGAGAGTGGAGGCTCATATAGAATAGTGCGGTCTCACCAGGGGGCGCTAAGCTTGATGTAGAGTGGTGTGGTCTCACCAAGGGGCAGTAAGCTTGATGTAGCGTGGTGTGGTTCCACCAGGGGGCGCTAAGCTTGATGTAGAGTGGTGTGGTCTCACCAAGGGGCAGTAAGCTTGATGTAGCGTGGTGTGGTTCCACCAGGGGGCGCTAAGCTTGATGTAGAGGGGTGCGATCTCACCAGGGGGCGCTAAGCTAGATGTAGAGTGGTGCGGTCTCACCAGGGGGCGCTAAGCTTGATGTAGAGTGGTGTGGTCTCACCAAGGGGCAGTAAGCTTGATGTAGCGTGGTGTGGTTCCACCAGGGGGCGCTAAGCTTG